CTGAACCCTTTATTTCGATCGCTGGTTTGCTTTACAACATATCAAACTCAGTTGGTTATTTAATACCGACAAAAATTTTAATGCTGGTAATATTTTTTCCAAAAAGGCATTACTTGTAATAATTTTTCCTCAAAAAATTTATTGTTGATATTAAAACCTATTTTTACACTTTCATAATGGTTTGACCCCAGTTTAGGGGTTAATTATTTGCCCATAACTGGGACCCTAACAAGTGCTACCACCTCGGGTCAGAGTGGACCTGGGAACACCAGCAATTAAGAGGTAGTTCCATGCTCCTCAAAACCTCCTGATCATAGGCCTTGCTGTCGGACGTAGTCTATCGTCTTACCGTGGACACGGATGTAGTTTATCGTCATACCCAGGGCGGGAGAAAGTTATTAAGGAAACGGGACAATAAAAGAAAAATGAATTAAGAAGATAACGATAAAACACCGCTGGGGAAAAAAAAATCAGAACATGAAAATTGATGAAATTGAGAAAATCTGGGGGGAAGATAACCCCACAAAAACTTGCGATAACTTTTTTAAAATTATATTTAAAGAGCATACAATCAGTGAAGAGTAAACTTGGAAATGAATTTAGTTTAGCTTCTCATTCCTCTATGGCTATTTACATGGAAAGTGCTCAGTCAAACTACAGTCCTTAGTTCCACCAGTTCTAGCCTTTACGGTTAGGACCCACCATGCTACACTTATTGTAGCGAACCAACCTCATTCCCTTCGTATTTCATGGGTGAGATGTAAGTTCCACTCGAGGAGCTTATTTCCGCTGTTTTGGTCTGTAAACAGATATTCAGCAGATATTAAATGACGGAAACAACAAGCAAAACGAAGACTTAAAAAGAAATAAATATTGCCAAATTAATTTTTGTAAAGAAAATTACATAAGCAAAAATAAAGTTGTGAACATGCAAGGCTCATAAGAGGGAGAGAAATAGCGTCGCTGGAGAGCGTATGTCATAAGAAGGAGTGTTTCGTTGTCGTTAGAGAGCGGATGTTGTAAAGAAGGAGAGTTTCGTGGTCGCTTGATAGCGGATGTCGTAAGAAGGAGAGTTTCGTGGTTGCTTGATAGCGGAATTGAAATGGCACAGTGGATAAAGGCGTTGGTTAGATCCAGTGACAGCCCCAAAGAAGGTGAGTTCAATTCCTGGTTAAGGCAGTGGAGAACTTTCAGAGGGAAAATTAGCAGGAGATAACTGATAACTGACATCCATCAAACATGGCACGTGGAATTAGAACAGTCTACCCCAGCGATCGAAATAAAGGGTTCAGTTCGAAATTCCAACCACCTGATGAACAGCCGAAACGTTGTGACAAATATGGCGACAAAGATGAGGACAATAATCCGACTAATGTAAATACTGTACATAATACCTCATCTCAGAAATATAGACAATCTCCACATCAGGTGCAATAACTGTCCTTGACAGGAGCAAAGCATCACTCAAATGGTCATCATCCAAACTTGTTCTTAAAAGACATTAATCATTTTCGGAATAAAATTCTTCGCAAGTCAGCATTGGATTCGGAATTAAATTTTGATTTAAAAAATTCGTCGCGTTTTAAGTCGATTAACTCCAACTGATATTTTTTTCTGCTATTTGCTCCACAAATTAGATAATTAGTGTCCATGTATTAAGCTGGCGAAGCCGGACAAAAATCCTTCACGGGCCAGATGTCGTCCGGAGACCGGGGTTTGCCGAACCCTACCACAGACGAAACATGTGTGCAAAGGAGACCTTTTAATGAAAATGGATACAAAAAGGACACTTATGGTTAGAAGCAAGAGTCAGTTGAAATCTTTGGGACACATAATGTGGAAAGAAGGTTTGGAGACTTTGACACACGCAGGAAAGCAAGAGGGATAGTGGAAAACAGCGAGTAACCTACCTAAGAATCTTGTGTTAATGGATGACAATCCAAGGAGGGAGAACGATAAAAAAAAAAGATTTGTACGTAGAATAAGTCTCCGCATAATGAGGAAAGAAGGTTTCGAAAATTTGACACACGCAGGACATATTGAAAGCAAGAAGACCAGAGGGAAATTGTAATCTGCTGAGGAAATAGTGTAAATGGATGACAGTCGAAGGAGCGGGAACGATGGTAGATGAAAAGAAAGAAACATTATAGAGGAGCTGCAAGTGATAGGGGTTTGTTGAAAAACAATTTGTGAGCAAACTAGGGGTATTATTTAATTAAAATAATACTGCTCTGGGTGAGGATCGAACTCACAGCCTCCGCATATCTCTTACTGTCTATAAGTACGGCGCGCTAACCGATTGCGCCACCAGAGCGCGTATGTATCGATGCTTATTTTAATCTTATCAGTCGTCTAGTGAGAAACTAAACCCCCTTTTCTGAATTCAGAAGCACAAAGAATAATTGTCGTTTCTGAATTTCACTCGGACGAACAGCAGACATTACAGGTAGAGCAAAAGAAAATATCAGGTCATCCCATTAGTTCTGTCCGAATTTTGAATAAAGAAAACAAGTGACCAAATGTTACATTTAATTACAGATTCAATCAACAATGTATTTTCCCTGATTATCTCTGACTTCCTTCCATCTATTAACAAGCTTACTAATTCCATTACTGTAAAATTCTTTTGGCTTTGATTCGAAGAACTCACAAATGTCAGTTTTAACCTCTTCCTGTGTTACAAAAGCTGTTTCTTCCAAATGATTCTGTAAGCTACGAAACAAATGGTAGTCTGAAGGAGCAAGATCGGTAGAATAAGGTGGATGAAAAATTTTCTCCCAACCAAGTTCTTCGATCATTTGTGACGTGATTCTTGCTGTGTGGGGTCGCGCATTGTCCTGATGAAACATCATCTCTTTTCGATTCACTAGAGCAGGTCTTTTTTTCCTCAAAGCTTGGTTCAAACGCTCTAATTGCTGACAGTATATTTGAGCATTAATTGTTGCATTAAGTGGTAAGAATTCAAAGTAGATTATTCCTTGGCGATCCCATCAGATTGAAAGAAGAACCTTTTGCCCATGAAGTTCCCTTCTCGGCTGTGGCTGGGGTCCTTCCCCTTTACAAAGCCACTGTCTACGACGCTTAACATTTTGATAAAAGATCCATTTTTCGTCGCCAGTCACAAGTCTATCCAAAAAAGTTGAAACAAATTGGCGAGAATGGAGAGAAGAGCAGATGTTAACTCGGGATTTGAGGTTGTTTTCAGACAATTCATGAGGCACCCATTTTCCAAGTTTAGGAACTTTTCCAAGTTGTTGAAGATGACGATGAACAGTTGTATGGTTTGAACTGAGAACCACTGCCAATTCCTCAACTGATAAAGCAGGATTTTCTTCAAGGGCTGCTTCAAGAAGCTTTTCATCAAACTCAACTGGACGTCCGGTTCGATCTTCATCTTCAAGGGTGAAATCTCCACCTCTGAATTTTGCAAACCATCTTCTGCAAGTTCTTTCATTCACACATTCCTCTCCATAAACTGAGTGAATGTTTCTAGCCGCTTCGGCTGCTGAGTTTCCTTTCTTGAACTCATAAAGCATTATGTGCCTCAAATGATCTTGGGTACTTCCATGTTAGCAGGCTTTTAATCAAACAAAATTTAATCTTATTGTTCTCTGAAATAAAATTTGATGAGTTTAAATGCATCTAAACATAAAAATAATGTTCAGGTCCATTAGACATTATAAAATACTCTTTAAATTTCATTCATTTGAACGAAAAGTTAAAATTCGGACAGAACTTATGGGATGACCTGATATATCCCAGTCTTGTTGCTTAAAGCAACGTTTTACTTAATCATTTCATCCTAGGCAAGACATTAAAGTTACTAAGATGCAAGGGGATTACTGAGTATAAGAGAAAACGAAAAAAAAAAAAAGGAAAGTTATTGAAGGTTGGTTTGGTTTGCTTTACAACATATCAACCTCAACTTTTCCAAAAAGGCATTACTGGTAATAATTTTTCCTCAAAAAATTTATTGTTGATATTAAAACCTATTTTTACACTTTCATAATGTTTTGACCCCAGTTTAGGGGTTAATTATTTGCCCATAACTGTGACCTTAACAGGCTACCACCCTGGGTCAGGGTGGACCTGGGAACACCAGCAATTAAGAGGTGGTTCCATGCTCCTCAAAACCTCCTGATCATAGGCCTTGCTGTCGGACGTAGTCTATCGTCTTACCGTGGACACGGATGTAGTTTATCGTCATACCCAGGGCGGGAGAAAGTTATTAAGGAAACGGAACAATAAAAGAAAAATGAATTAAGAAAATAACGATAAAACACCGCTGGGGGAAAAAAATCTCAGAACATGAAAATTGATGAAATTGAGAAAATCTGGGGGGAAGATAACCCCACAAAAACTTGCGATAACTTTTTTAAAATTATATTTAAAGAGCATACAATCAGTGAAGTATAAACTTGGAAATGAATTTAGTTTAGCTTCTCATTCCTCTATGGCTATTTCCATGGAAAGTGCTCAGTCAAACTACAGTCCTTAGTTCCACCAGTTCTAGCCTTTACGGTTAGGACCCACCATGCTACACTTATTGTAGCGAACCAACCTCATTCCCTTCGTATTTCATGGGTGAGATGTAAGTTCCACTCGAGGAGCTTATTTTCGCTGTTTTGGCCCGTAAACAGATATTAAGCAGATATTGAATGACGGGAAGATAGCAACAAGCAAAACGAAAAATTAAAAAGAAATAAATATTGCCAAATTAATTTTTGTAAAGAAAATTACATAAGCAAAAATAAAGTTGTGAACAGGCAAGGCTCATAAGAGGGAGAGAAATAGCGTCGCTGGAGAGCGTATGTCATAAGAAGGAGTGTTTCGTTGTCGTTTGGGAGCGGATGTCGTAAAGAAGGAGAGTTTTGCGGTCGCTTGATAGCGGATGTCGTAAGAAAGAGAGTTTTGTGGTCGCTTGAGAGCGGATGTCGTAAGAAAGAGAGTTTTGTGGTCGCTTGAGAGCGCATGTCGTAAGAAGGAGTGTTTCCTGGTCGTTAGAGAGCGGATGTCGTAAAGAAGGAGAGTTTCGTGGTCGCTTGATAGCGGATGTCGCAAGGAGGAGAGTTTCGTGGTGGCTTGAGAGCGTATGTCATAAGAAGGAGTGTTTCGTTGTCGTTTGGGAGCGGATGTCGTAAGAAGGAGTGTTTCCTGGTCGTTAGAGAGCGGATGTCATAAGAAGGAGAGTTTTGCGGTCGCTTGATAGCGGATGTCGTAAGGAGGAGAGTTTCGTGGTGGCTGGTCGAGAGCGGATGTATGTCAAGGAGGCGGTGTTTCGTTGTCGTTTGGGAGCGGATGTCGTAAGAAGGAGTGTTTCCTGGTCGTTAGAGAGCGGATGTCATAAGAAGGAGAGTTTTGTGGTCTCTTGAGAGCGGATGTCGTAAGGAGGAGAGTTTCGTGGTGGCTTGAGAGCGTATGTCATAAGAAGCAGTGTTTCGTTATCGTTTGGGAGCGGATGTCGTAAGAAGGAGTGTTTCCAGGTCGTTAGAGAGCGGATGTCATATGAAGGAGAGTTTTGTGGTCGTTAGAGAGCGGATATCGCAAAAAGGAGAGTTTCTTGGTGGCTAAAGAGCAGATATCCTAAGAAGGGGAGTTTCTTGGTCGTTAGAGAGTGGATGTCGTAAGAAGGAGAGTTTCGTGGTCGTTAGAGAGTGGAGGCCCTAAGAAGGAGTGTTTCGTGGTTGCTAGTGTGCGGATATCGTAAGAAGGATAGTTTCGTGGTCGTTACAGAACGTATGTCATAAGAAGGAGAGTTTCGTGGTCGCTAGAGAGCTGATGCCCTAAGAAGGATAGTTTCGTGGTCGCTAGAAAGCGTATGTCGTAAGAAGGATAGTTTTGTGGCCGCTAGAGAACGTATGTGGTAAGATGGAGAGTTTCGTGGTGGATAGAGAGCGGTTACCCTAAGAAGGAGAGTTTCATAGTCGCTAGAGAGCGTATGTGGTAAGAAGAAGAGTTTCGTGGTTGCTAGAGAGCGGGTGTGGTAAGAAGGAAAGATTCGCGGTCGTTAGAGAGCGTATGTCGTAAGAAGGAGAGTTTCGTGGTTGTTAAAGAACGGTTATCGTAAGAAGAAGAGTTTCGTTGTCGTTAGAGAGTGGATGTCGTAAGAAGTGTTTCGTGGTTGCTAGAGAGCGGATGTCGTAAGAAGGAGAGTTTCCTGTTCGCTAGAGTGAGGATGTCGTAAGAAGGTGAGATTCGTGGTCGGTAGAGAGCGGATGTCGTAAGAAGGAAAGTTCCGTTGTCATTAGAGAGCGGATGTCGTAAAAAGGAGAGTTTTGTGGTCTTTAGAGAGCGGATGTCGCAAAAAGGAGAGTTTCCTGGTCGCTAAATAGCAGACGTCCTAAGAAGGAGAGTTTCTTGGTCGTTAGAGAGCTTAATGGACCTCGTGATATTGAACGGCTTGGATCTTTTGCCATTTACTTGTACTTCGGCACTGGGGGCTTGGTATAGAGTCTAATTCACGTGCGAAAGATTTCGCCAAACCCGGCGGCCTCTAGTGCGGCTTTCAGGAAACAATGGCCCACTCTATCAAAGGTCTTTGACTGATCTAGGTTGACCAGTGCAGCGCCCATGCTGTCGTCTATCTCATCCAGGATGGCGTGCATCAGGTTCAGATTGTCCATCCCTTCACTACGCATATCTGGTCGGAGCCGATCATCTTTTCCGCCACAAACTGTTTGTCAGGATCCTGGCCAGAATCTTCAGGTCAGTATTGAGGAGAGTTTATAGGCCGGAAGTCTTTTACCCTACTCTCTTCGGGATTGTTCTTCCGCGGCACTTATCTTTTGATTGCTTTTGAGGCCTCTTTATATCTTTAACCAGTCTTGCAACAATGCTGGTTAAGCTTTTTCTTCCAGTCGTTTTTTTAAAAAAATATGGGAGTGCGGACAGGACACGACACCGCGAACTACAATCTTAAACTGTTCACGTCTAGGGTTAAGCGTTATCTTTCTCACCTATCAGCATAAACTGTGCCACCTTGAATGGCTCCCTGGCTTTGTACAGTGTAAAAAACAAAATTTAGTGCTGTGAACCTCTGCTTGAACCTACCTGAACATATTTAATTTAAAAGTAAAAAGACAAAAAAAGCAGAATACAAAAATCCAGTTTTAATCACCCCAAAGAATTTTCTTATCGATCTAAATGGTAATAAGAATTCATTCTTTGTGAACCGAACCATGCGAACATTGGCGATTAAAAATGGTTAAAAAAAACAAACACTTGTAAACCATTTAGACATAGCTCAAAGATTTTGATCGGGATATCGTCATCATATTTTAAGCATATTTTCTGGGAAGATAAAAAAAAAAACGAAATTTACTCTCTCTGAAAAAAAAAATATTTCAAACCATTTTCATCTGACCGGGCACTTTTGATTGCTTTTGAGGCCTCTTTATATCCTGAACCAGTCTTGCAACAACGCTGGTTAAGCTTTTTCTTCCAGTTGTTTTTTTTTAAAAATGTGTGAGTACCGACAGAATACGACAGCGCGAACCAATTCTCTCTGGAACCCGATCACTACAATATTATCCTGTTCAAGTCTAGGGTTAAGCGTTATCTTTCTCAGCTATCAGCATAAACTGCGCCACTTACCCTCTACCTTGAATGACTCCCTGGCTTTGTACAGTGTAAAAAACAAAATTTACTGCTGTGAATCTCTACCTGAACCTACATGAATATATCTAAATAATAAAAAAAAAAGACAAAAAAGGCAGAATACAAAAAACAAGTTTTAATCACCCCAAAAGAATTTTCTTATCGATGTAATTAGCAATAAGAATCCATTCTTTGTGAACCGAACCATGCGAATATTGTCGATTAAAAATGGTGAAAACATTTGTGAACTATTTAGCAAGGCATATACCAAAGATTTTGACCGGGAAATCGTCATCCTATTTTAAACATGAAATGAGTTTTTTTTTTCTGGGTAGATAAAAATAGCCGAAATTTATTCTCTCTGAAAAAAAAAAAAAAAAAAAAAAAAATTAACTATTTCAACCATTTTCATCTGACCGCAGCATCTTTTGATTGCATTTGAGGCCTCTTTATATTCTGAACCAGTCTTGAAACAACGCTGGGGAAGCTTTTTCTTTCAGTCGTTTTTTTGTTGTTGTAGAGTACAAAAGGTTTTTCTTCCTCCGTATGAGTTCGAATCCCTCGTCGCCAAGTTGTTATGTAGTGGTTTCATAGTGGAGGCTTGTATTTGTACTAAGTCGGTCCTAAAATAGGTTCGACGTACAAAACGTTAGGAACTTGATATAATAGGTAATTTAGCAGTAATCTAGTTGTGGTGTCTGATACTTTAATATCCGACTAACGGTCGTCCGACATCGACTGACTGACCAACGATATTTAGTCACCCCCACGAGGTCATCATGTGGCACAAGGCCGGGTTAACGTGGGATCTCGAGCCCGTGGGCTCGGCCAAAAAATATGGGGCCATTGAACCCGTATAAACGGGTTCAGGGTTTGTTACCTCCCGAAAGAGAATCCGCCCTTCGGCGTAGCCTCTTTCGGGTTCCTCCCCGCCTGAAGGCAGAGAGTTCAACCGATCAGCCGGTCGAAGGACATCGACTGACTGACCAACTCCTGAGCGACTGCTATTACTCCTACTTATTATAGGTGGGAGAGTCTATTAACAATAGAATTGGTGTGTTCCACTATAACATTTTTAAAACAAAATATGGAAATACCAACAGAATACGACACCGCGAACCACTGCTCTCTGGACAGATTTCCAAGAGGATATTTTCCCGATCACTACAATCTTAACTTGCTGAAGTCAAGGGTTGAGCGTTATCTTTCCCACCTATCATCATAAACTGTGTCACTTACTCTGTAACACTCTACCTTGAATGGCTCCCTGGCTTTGTACAGTGTAAAAAACAATACTTAATCTACTTGAATATATCTAATTCAAAAACCCAACCAACAAACAAAACACAAAAAAGGCATAATACAAAAAACAAGTTTAATCACCCCAAAAGAATTTTCTCGTTGATCTAATTTGGCAATAAGAACATTGACAATTAAAAATGGTGAAAAGCTCAAACACTTACTCTCTCTGAAAAAAAACAACCCATTTCCGAAATGTGCTTGCACCTACTGCATATTTAGAAGCTTCTATGATTCCCTACCCGGCTTCTATTGCAGTTTTTTTCTTTAACTTCCAGATGAAGACGAAACAGTGTTGCGTCCTGGGTATGACGATAAACTTCATCCGCGTCCTAGGTAAGACGATAAACTACGTCCAACAGCAAGGCCTCGTATAATACTTTTTTGAAAAAATAATGTTGCCAGCTGTACGTTTTTGGGAAAAAAAAATACCAGCTATACGTTTTTTGGAAAAATAATATTACCAGCTATACATTTTTGAGAAAAAAATATTAACAGAAATGGGTTTTTGACAAAACAAAAATATTACCAGGAAAAAAAAGTTGTCGGCATTAAATGACCCATTGAGGTGTTGATATGCCGTAAAACAAACCAAACCAAACCAAACCAAACCGAAACAGTGTTAATAGGCATTTATTTATTTTTATTGCTGTTACATCTGGTATGGTGCTTCATTTCCCCCCAACCAAGGCGATAACGTCACTAAGTCGCAAGGGGCTACTGAAAGTGAAAGAGAATGAGAAGACTTTAGAAGGAAAGAGAAACTCAATACTAAACAGGAAACAAGGGATAAACCTCTACTCCTGTACTGGGGTGGGACACCTCGACTTGGTGTAATCGTTAGCGAGCTAGAAAATTACGACTGAGTAGTAGTGAGTTCGATCCTCAGTGTGTATCCCATAGTTTCAGCCTTGTACCGCATCTACGCCATGCTTAGAACTTCACCATAAGGCTGGAGAGGAGAATAAACCGGACGAACCTATCTACTCCGACAAACACATCTAGAGATTTGTGCCAAAATCAAAACAATCTGCAATGCTATTAGTCCTCACCTGGTATCTCGGCTTCAGTTACTTTCCCACCGCTATAACATAGCTTATATATATATATATATATTTATTAAAGACATTTTTATTTATGTTTAACGTTGTTATTTTTATAGATACAAGTATTTAAGCAAATGCTCTGTTTATGATAAACAGTATTAAATAACATTTACCGGCCTGAATGTCCGAGAAATTTTCATAATGTAAATGTTATTTAATACTGTTTATCATAAACAGAGCATTTGCTTAAATACTTGTATCTATAAAAATAACAACGTTAAACATAAATAAAAATGTCTTTAATAAATAAATTGTCGGACCTCGTCCATTTCTTAACATATATATATATATATATATATATATATAGTTTATGGAAAAC